TGCTCAGTTTTTCAATCTTAAATTCCAAAGAATTCCAGGAAGTATTTTTATGTAATTAACTATTACAACATAAATAATACATTACCTGGAAATATATAGGCATTGTTTCCTTGACCTGGTATAAAGACTCGTCCATCTCTAAGTTTCACTGGCTCAAATGGACTGCCACTGGCAAACAAACACCTTCCCTGTTAATAAAATGAGATAACTTCAATCTTTACACGGATTAGAAAATTGAGGTAAATTCATACAAAACCAAATCCTGTAGTAAAGCAGACCAATACATTACTTAGAAACAAGGCATAATTTACTATCATATAACCCTGTGGTCCTCAACCCCTGGGCCACGGGCCGGTACCGGTCCGGTCCATTAGGAACCAGGCCACACAGCAGTAGGTAAGTGGTGGGGAGCGAGCAAAGCTTCATGTGTATTTATAGCCACCCCCCATCACTTGCATCACCTCCTAAGCTCCGCCTCCTGTCAGATCATCAGCGGCATTAGATTCTCATAGGAGCGGGAACCCTACTGTACACTGCGCCTGCGAGGAATCTAAGTTGTGCGCTCATGAGACTCTAATGCCTGATGATCTCAGGTGGAGCTGAGGCGGTCATATGATTATCATTAGCAGAGAGGTTTGACTGCACAGAGACCATAATAATTGCTGGCAGATTCATATCAAAATCTTATCAGTGAGTGGCAAGTAACAATGTAATAATAATAGAAATAAAGTGCACAATAAATACAATGTGCTTGAATCATCCCCAAACCATACCCTCCCCTCCCCACCCCCGGGGAGGGGGAACTGTCTTCCATGAAACTAGTCCCTGGTGCTAAAAAGGATGGGGACTACTGATATAACACTTTCATTAAAATCCTTTTATAAAAATGAGGTTCATTTTTACACGTAGTGTATATTCAATAAATAAATAAACTTGAAAAATATCCATTAATTTTTAAAAACCTGACACTTCCATTTCCTTTAAAAAATCTAAAATGTAGATGGCCAATAAATACCATCCCAAATAATAAAGACTATTGTAAACACCCATGAATGAAGGAGGAACATCAAATTTAAACTGCTACCACTTACTGCACATCTGCTGTTTCGGCTCTGTACCAGGTGCTTTATGTGTGTTATTAATAACTCAGTGAATTTAGTCCTCATGAAAACCTCATGAGGCTATCATCATCTCCATTTCACTGATTTAAAAAAAAATCAGAATACCAAGACTTCAATATACTTTCAAGTAAAAAGTCATACATCAAAATTGTAGCAGTTAAACCTAAATCCAGATTTTCAATAACTCTAAAGCCCATAGTCTTTCAATTATGCCATAACATCCCCCAGTAGGCAGTTCATAAAACAGACTTGTGGTATAACCATATTACCATTCCAGAAAAAAATGACATGTTGTCCTGTTAAAGAAAAATAAGTCTCCCAATTTATTGTACCCATCCGATTTTAGTACTGTGCTCTATAATGGCATATAGTAAGTGTTACTGGCACATTCAGGATTTCTAAGAGAATTAGCTCATGCAACTGAAAAGTACCAAAAAGTTAATTTATGAAACAAAATCTTTTACATGTAATTTCCTCCCCCTCAAATTTCCCTCTACTGTCCCCCCATAAAAGACAAAGAACAAGATGAAAACGATAGTGATCAAACAGGATAATTTATCTTGGACTATGCAAGGAATAACTAAAATAAGTCATGTTTAAACAGCCACCTGGGTTAGGTTAAAAGAGATGTACAGAAAATAAGTATCTCCCCACAGTAGGTTGGCTGAACTGCTATGATGATACCTGAACATTCAACAGAGTTATTATTCTAAGTGTTTAGATACTGCTCTGTCTTCTTTTCCTCAGATCTAAAAATGTATATTACATCAAGAGTGATTATTCTTTATAGGGTTGTAAGCCCTTGGCATTAGTGAATTTAACACTCAAGAATTTGACTCTGGGCAGTTTGAAAGTCCACAATGTATAATATGCATTATTTTTACAAGACATGTTTAATTTAAAAATGATACAAGGTTTAAGTGTAGAAATAAGTTAACTATGCTAAGTGTGGCCCAGCTAACTATC